ATACTTATTTTCGCTGGATTAATTTTCGCTGAAAAGGTATTTTGGGCATTTTGCTTGGAATTTATTTTCACTGATTTTTGATGAGATTAAAATAAAATATAGGAAAAAATGTATATTCGCTGGATTTTATTTTCACGGAATCATCCCTTCAGCGAAAATAGCGAAAGTAAATTCCAAGCGAAAATAAAGTATTCTACAGTAGTACACTTTGATAATACTATAGTATATTATCTAGCCAGAAAATTGCTCTAATGATTGAAAAAATAAACAAGTTCTGATTTTCTCAGCTTAATTAAAATATATTTTAAATTATATTTAAATAAATATTATTTGAATTTTTCTTGAATAATTGCTTACCTGTAGTGTGGTGTTTAGTGTAGTTCAAACCATGTGTCATGGCAAACTTTTCTGACAGAATGAAAACTGGTCTTTGAATTAGAATAAATTTGTTGTTGCCGATATCCAACTTCTTCTGAGTGAAAGTAAAAGTTCCAAGGCCTGGGATTTGTACACCCTGAAAATAAATTGAAAATAAATTAGACATAATAAAATTAAAAAATGTTAAAATATCTATACGAGTGTCCCAAGCAATAACAATAATAAAATACAATTTACAGACAATGCATTCCATTTACAATCGCATATCATTTATAAATATCCTTAATTTTGTTTATTGATATATAATCAACAATATAACGTTATTGCAAATTAGGTCTGTTGACTAAAAAGTGGGTTGGGTACCCGTGGTTGGGTACCCGTGGTTGTGAAACGCGCGTCGCTGTCATAGATGTACGAATGATTAAAATATCTACTCGAAATAAACGTAAAAATTGTCTGGTCCAGTTTGTAGATGATGAAGACTGGCGAACAAAAGATTAATGGCTTGGGGTCTCAACACTAACTACAGTAATATAATACTAAGAACGTCCGTCACAAAACAAACAGTAGACCAAGTAATCTGTTTTAGACGAAGCCCGAAGGTCGAGACAACCAGAAACAAGATTTACCTTCTGCATAGACATTTGCTTTTCAACATACTGCGATACGTTGTCCCAAACGCTGACAACATCTGTAAAAAGAGAAAATAACGAGAGTTAGGTTTAAGTATTGCATGTATGGATGCATTCGACTTGAAAATAAAGCAAGCGGCAGAAACCCGCCATGTTGAAAATCACCTGTGGCACTCTTCACTTACCTTCGTCGGTCAACTTCGGTATCGTCGAAAATCTGTTTTTCTTAGCCTCCGAAACCAACGCATGCATAACGTCCGTCATGTTGAAAAGCTAAAAAATGCCGGCCGAAAGCCTGGCGTGGTGTTAAACTGGCCAAAACTAACACAAGTGTGTCAAGTTATGAGTAGAAAATTGTACAGCTGATTATAATACATGGAGTACCAATGTGTTGGTTTCCATTGTCGACGACATACATACACAACGTTACCATGACCACATTTGATACGCGATCCGTTGAGGGCGCGCATCAATCACATATGACCTCGCTTATTCAAGAATCGGAGGTCACAACGCTTATGAATATGGACGTTAGTCCGTCCATTGTACAATAAATAGACTATATCTATGTTGTTGTTTTTTATTTGTGGGGCGGAATTTCGTTCTGTTTAGTATAGTCGCTGGTATCAAAAATATGCGTACCGACTGTACTCCTAAATGCACGATTTTTTATTGATTGCATATTTTATTTTACCTCCAATTATTCAAATTATTCAACAGGCTCGATTGAAAGTTAGATCACATGTAATGGATCAGGTGGTTGTGAAAATTAATTATTTGTGACATATGCGTTTTTCATTGAATTGGGAAACAACATCTTGGAACATACGAATGTCATATTCTATACTTACACGATATACGCGTTTTTCCTGCAAAGTGGCCCGGATAATCCCTGTGCTAGAGAAGTCTGCCAGTTCCGACGACTGGCCAAACCATAAACAGAAACAATCAGAAAACTCGGATTTAAAGAAGATTGGGGTTTTAGCAGTCCCTCGGTGGAGCTGTGATTTAGTTTTTCCTCTAGCGGAATTAAATTCGACTAAATCAAAATGGATTGAATAAATACAATTTTAATATCATTTTGGTGTTTGTTTTTTTTTTTTGTTCGTTTTATTATTTCTGGTGGGACTAGATTGATTTAAATTCGATTTTTCATATTTTTCCTGGCGGATTCTGGCCCAGACTAAATAAATCACTTAAATCCGATTTAAATCGATATCGTTTTTGTTGGTCATAAACAACCTTTA